TCGGGCACGGGGCGGCCGCTGCCCGGCGACTGGGCTCTCTTGTTTCGAGTGGGCCCTCCTATTTCGGGTGGGCTCTCCTATTCCGGCCTTGGAGGCCAAGCGGCGAGCAAAGCATGAAATAGGCAGGGGGCACTTATGCAGCGGAGGGAAAGCGTGCAGGTACCCAGCTCCAGGCTGTGTGGCACAGGTCCTCTGGTTCTCAGCCTGTTTCCCTCTGCTTTCCCCACAGGCCCTGTCCCTTCACTTTAACACCATGGCCCGTGGGGGGAAATTTGCGTCTCCCATATGTACGCAATAGCTGTTCCCCACCAGGGTAGGAAAACCTGCCTCCACCCCCCAACTCCCTCTCATCAATTATTCTGGCCATGCCCAGAGCCCTGATGCTCTTTCAGGATGCTGACATCCCAGAGCAAAGGATGGAAGTTGTGGCAGTGAGCATCTCTAGAAGGCTTTGGCGACTCAGAAAGGAGCAAGCCTTGTAAGGGGGCCGGTGTCCAGGGTACACTTCTGCTTTGGCTGCAGGGTTTACTTTTTTACTTTTTTTATTTTTTTAAACTACACATGTGGTGGCAAAAGTGTTGTCACTTTTTCCTGCTTCTCTTCCTTCTGCTTTCTCTGTGCCCTTCCTATCACAGAAAGAGCACAGGAGTGCTAATCTAACTTGGTAGTTGTTACATAGCTAGAAGCAGGGTCATACCTAAAAGGTGGAGCCTGACATCACCAAATTTGGCCTCGGGTCCACGGCAGGTGACTTATGTGGGTCAGGGCTGACCCTTGGGTGAGATGTGGGCTACTGCCCAATCTCTGAGGGGCAGGAGCAGCAAGTGAAGAGGAGGCAGCTGCAGAAAAGCAACCAACAGTAGTCAGCAGAATACATACGGTGCTACCCAGGACCTGCACGATGCTGCGTAAGTGGTGATTACTCAGCAAAACCCATCATCTTGTCATCTTGTTGTTGCCTTTTTTTTTTTTTTTCCTCTTCACAGCTGACACTCTTAGGACCAATCTCCAAAAGCCATTTCCAGACCGCTCTGGAGCAATGGGATGAAGTCGTGCATGGGCATGATCTGTGAATCTGACCCAAACTCTGCTCTTTGGAGGTGGCAAGCAGAGATGTGAGTAACTTCCAGGCCTTTCCAGGTCTGCACGGATCTCTCTTTTCCAAATGGCATCCTTGGACCTTGTCTAAGGAAAATATGTGCTGTGGGATCTTCTCTTACACAGTTTACTGTCAGGACAACCTGAAGAGAAAGAAAACTCCATCATTCTGTCATCTGTGCAGTAAGGTATAATACCATTATGGTAGCCTCCTAGATTACGGGTGTGGGTGTGAATGTGATGCTAAATAAATGACAAATTCCTAGGAAGATGAAACCTTAACTGAGTGACTGAATGAGCTGGGCTGCGATGGCTACTCTGATCTTGATCATATTTCTCTTGCAGGCTTTCCATCAGACAGTACCAGGATAAGCTGGCACTGCCTTAGCTCAGGCAGAAAAATCTCACTGCTTTGGGGGAGACTGGAATGTCACTTTTTTTTTTTTAAGTGAATGAAAGTTTTTATTTCATTTTCTTGTTTATAAATTAGTGAACAAGTTTAAGAACTGATGTATGCTACTCAGCTAGTTACAGCTACAATGTGGTACACTGAGGAAAGCTCACACATGTGACCATTGACTTGCAATAGGCTGTTCTCTATTAATGGTGCTGCATATACACATGTATAGTGTAACTGGGCTCTTAAAAGCTATTCATTATGTTAAAACACAAAATTAGGGAATTCGCCGGTGTGAATTTTGCGAGATATTCCATAATGCAGCTCATAACATATATGCACACACACAGATAGGCTTCCTGACTGCCTACTTGTTGATGTGAAAGCCTCCAGTTTGTCATTTCCTGAAAAGATCTGTTTAGAGGCCAGCTCTGTTTTGAGGCCCGCTGAAACCAACTGAAATTTCCCTGCCGGTTTCCGCACCGGGTCATGTTAATTCCTAAAGATGTTGGGTGAAAGCCTCGTCGAGCCCTGGTCCCTTCGAAAGGGGCGAGGCAGCCCTCGCTTTGCCCCGTTCCTCCCACGGCGGCGGCAGCCCGCGGAGCCGGGGC